TGGAGAACTCACAAGAAACGATCAAGAGGTATGTGAGGAGCTCAACACGAGATTTAAGGAAGTATTTACAGTAGAGACAGGAAGGACTCTGGGGGGACAGACCAGATGGGGACACCAGCAAGGAATACACCAACAAGTGTTGGACGACATACATACAGATGAGGAGGAGGTGAAGAAACTGCTAAGGGACATCGATACCTCAAAGGCAATGGGACCGGACAACATCTCCCCGTGGGTCCTTAGAGAGGGAGCAGATATGTTGTGCGTGCCACTTACCACAATCTTCAACACATCCCTGGAAACTGGGCAACTACCTGAGGTATGGAAGACGGCAAATGTAGTTCCCATTTTTAAAAAAGGAGACAGAAAAGAGGCACTAAACTATAGACCTGTGTCATTGACGTGTATAGTATGCAAAATTATGGAGAAGATTATCAGGAGGAGAGTGGTGGAGCACCTGGAACGGAACAGGAGTATAAATGCCAACCAGCACGGATTCATGGAAGGCAAATCCTGTGTCACAAACCTTCTGGAGTTTTATGATAAAATAACAGAAGTAAGACAAGAGAGAGAGGGGTGGGTTGATTGCATCTTCTTGGACTGCAAGAAGGCCTTTGACACAGTTCCTCACAAGAGATTAGTGCAGAAGCTAGAGCATCAGGCGCATATAACAGGAAGGGCACTGCAATGGATCAGAGAATACCTGACAGGGAGGCAACAACGAGTCATGGTACGTAATGATGTATCACAGTGGGCACCTGTGACGAGTGGGGTCCCACAGGGGTCGGTCCTAGGACCAGTGCTATTTTTGGTATATGTGAACGACATGACGGAAGGGTTAGACTCAGAAGTGTCCCTGTTTGCAGATGATGTGAAGTTAATGAGGAGAATTAAATCTGATGAGGACCAGGCAGGACTTCAAAGAGACCTGGACAGACTGGACACCTGGTCCAGCAAATGGCTTCTCGAATTTAATCCTGCCAAATGCAAAGTCATGAAGATAGGGGAAGGGCACAGAAGACCACAGACAGAGTATAGGCTAGGTGGCCAAAGACTGCAAACCTCACTCAACGAGAGAGATATTGGGGTGAGTATAACACCGAGCATGTCTCCGGAAGCACACATCAATCAGATAACTGCTGCAGCATATGGGCGCCTGGCAAACCTGAGAACAGCATTCCGATACCTTAGTAAGGAATCATTCAAGACACTGTACACCGTGTATGTCAGGCCCATACTGGAGTATGCAGCACCTTTTTGGAACCCGCACTTGATAAAGCACGTCAAGAAACTAGAGAAAGTACAAAGGTTTGCGACAAGGTTAGTTCCAGAGCTAAGGGGAATGTCCTATGAAGAAAGATTAAGGGAAATCGGCCTGACGACACTGGAGGACAGGAGGGTCAGGGGAGACATGATAACGACATATAAAATACTGCGTGGAATAGACAAGGTGGACAAAGACAGGATGTTCCAGGGAGGGGACACAGAAACAAGAGGCCACAATTGGAAGTTGAAGACACAAATGAGTCAGAGAGATAGTAGGAAGTATTTCTTCAGTCATAGAGTTGTAAGGCAGTGGAATAGCCTAGAAAATGACGTAGTGGAGGCAGGAACCATACACAGTTTTAAGACGAGGTTTGATAAAGCTCATGGAGCGGGGAGAGAGAGGGCCTAGTAGCAACCGGTGAAGAGGCGGGGCCAGGAGCTAGGACTCGACCCCTGCAACCACAAATAGGTGAGTACACCTCACACACCCCTCACACACCCCTCACACATTTCCCTGTGAGAAGGGGATTCTCTGTAATCCAGAAAATTCACCATTGTTATACAGGCAGTGAGTTTTGTGTATGGTGGTATACCACCATCTTTTGCACCTCCATCTACTGTATTTCCACCTGTTCACAATTCATTTTTTGTATCTATTTTTATGTTTCACTCTGAAAGTTCACCAGCTATTTTGGTGACTTTACCCTTTTTTCTTGTTCTATCAGTTCAGTTTCGATAGTTGAATTATAAAAGTAATATTTTTGTTAATTTTTTACGAAATTCTTTCATACTGTGTGTATGCTTAGTTTATGCAAGCATTGAGAGCTCACAAACTGTACCCCCGGCCGGGATTGAACCCGCGGTCATAGAGTCTCAAAACTCCAGCCCGTCACGTTAGCCACTAGACCAGCTAGCCACAATAAGATTCATCCAATTAGGTATATTTCTACACCATAGGAAGGTTAGCACAGGCACCACTGTGACCACAAATGCAAGTTTTTACAGACGAATCTCCAGCTAGCGTGGCCGTGACGAACTCTAGCTCAAGTCCCTTCATTGCCATCAACATGACTCAAGAAATCGTAATGACACGATTGCAAACAAACCATACCCCCGGCCGGGATTGAACCCGCGGTCATAGAGTCTCAAAACTCCAGCCCGTCGCGTTAGCCACTAGACCAGCTAGCCACAATAAGATTCATCCAACTAGGTATATTTCTACACCATAGGAAGGTTAGCACAGGCACCACTGTGACCACAAATGCAAGTTTTTACAGACGAATCTCCAGCTAGCGTGGCCGTGACGAACTCTAGCTCAAGTCCCTTCACTGCCATCAACATGACCGTAATGCGACGGGCTGGAGTTTTGAGACTCTATGACCGCGGGTTCAATCCCGGCTGGGGATATGGTTTGTTTGCAGTCGTGTCATTACGATTTCTTGAGTCATTGAGAGCTCACGTTTGTTTTGTAGTAATTGGTCAAGAACCATAGATTTTACATTTATGTTTTTGTTAATGTTGAATTATTAACTTTTTTCCTCAGTTTTAAATCAAATGCATTCATGTTTTAAGAACATAAGAATGGAGGAACACTGCAGAAGGCCTACTGGCCCATACAAGGCAGGTCCTTATCAAAACGACCTTTACCCAAAGCTACCCATGAATTAACTCCCGTACCCAATGACACTAATCAAACCCAGCCCCTCCCACTCATATATTTGTCCAATCTCTTCTTAAAGCTACCCAAGGTCCTAGCCTCTATCACCCCACTGGGAAGATTGTTCCACTCATCCACAACTCTGTTAGAAAACCAGTACTTACCTATGTCCTTTCTAAATCTAAATTTATCCAACTTAAATCCATTATTTCTTGTTCTTACCTGGTTCAACACCCTCAGTACCTTATTAATATCTCCCTTGTTTATGCCCGTCATCCACCTATACACCTCAATGATATCTCCTCTCATTCTACGTCTCTCCAGAGAGTGAAGATTTAAGGCTTTAAGTCTATCTTCATACGGGAGATTCCTTACACAGTAAATCATTTTAGTCATTCTTCTCTGTATGTTCTCCGATAAGTCTATATCCATCCTGTAGTAAGGAGACCAAAACTGAGCAGCATAATCTAAATGAGGCCTCACCAGTGATGTATAGAGCTGTAAAATAACTTTTGGGCTTCTGTTACTTATACTTCTTGAGATAAATCCAAGTAATCTGTTTGCCTTGTTGCGCACACTTAGGCACTGCTGCCTTGGCTTTAGGTTTCTGCTTACCATGACTCCCAAGTCCTTTTCACACTCTGTATGATGAAGGTTTACTTCACCTAGTTTATAGCTTTGAGGGTTATTTTCATTACCAAGGACTAGGGACTAGTACCTTACATTTATCCACATTGAACTTCATCTGCCATTTTTCAGACCAAGACATTAATTTGTCTAAATCCTCCTGTAGTTCATTGCTATCCTCCTCAGAATGAATCATATGGCCTATCTTTGTATCATCAGCAAACTTGCTCATATCACTCGTAATCCCTTCATCAAGGTCATTAATGTAAATTATGAACAAGAGAGGGCCTAAAACTGATCCTTGTGGAATGCCGCTAGTAACTAAGCCCCATTCTGATTTGAACCCATTAATGGAAACTCTCTGCTTTCTATTGGTAAGCCATGCCTCTATCCATGCTAGAACTTTACCTCGTATACCATGAGCTGCCACTTTCCTTAAGAGTCTCTTGTGAGGTACTCTATCGAAGGCTTTACTAAAATCCAAATAAACAATATCATATTCTTTATCACTGTCTACTGCCTCAAATGTTCCATTGAAGAACGTCAGTAAGTTTGTCAGGCAGGAACGACCTCTCGTAAACCCATGCTGAGATTCATTTATCAAGTTGTGCTCTTCAAGGTGACGTCTAATAATGTCAGCTATAATTGATTCTAGTAATTTGCCAACTATAGATGTCAGGCTTATTGGACGGTAATTTGAAGGAGTGGACTTATCCCCTGATTTGAATATAGGAACCACATTGGCCATCTTCCACAACTCTGGCACAACACCAGTAAGGATGGATGCATTGAACACACTTGTTAATGGCTGACTAAGTTTTGTGTATGATCACTCAGTATATGCTTAGAGGGCTCACATTTATTTGGAAAAGAGTGGTCAAGAAATGCATAATTAATAATTGAAAACCACGCATTACTACAAGAACATTCTCACTGCTCGCTGTCTCAAGAGACACTGAGTGTGACCTGTGAGGTGGGGTGGTGGTGAGGGCAGCTGGGGAACTCACTGAGCACCATCACCACCTCCCTCTACACTCACCTACTGTTGTGTTGACAATCTTTTTATCACTGTCTTGTCTCTGGATATTAACCATGGCATAAAAAGGAATACAGTAGGACCCCCGTATCTGCTGCGGATACCAAAACAGTGGATAGTAGCAAACCCTGTGTATAAGTCGTATTTCGTTTACATACATACCTATTATAAAGTTTAATTGATAAATTACTGACAATAAGTCAAGAATTATCACTTTTTCACTGATGCGGAGCACTTCACGGCTTCTAGGCTTTGAATAACTGCCACTATCACTACTTTTGCACTGTGGTGCCATTATTAATTAAGCAAAATTAAGGCATATTTTTGGGCCACAGTAAACTGTGGATAACTGAAACCAGATGCAGGGGTCCTACTGTACTAGTAATGCTGGATGTGCTTCTTAGCACATCCAGCATGCACTGGAAGCAGTGTCTGCCCATTTTATATGGAATAAAAGGTAACTGTGTCAAACACAAGCTTCCCGTAAGACCTCTACTTAAGAAAGTTTATTTAATAAGATTTTTTATTTTAGTTTTGTGTATACAGTAGACTGTGTTAAACAAAACTGTGTTAGACAAACTGAAGAACTTATGGGAAAAATAGGGTTACATTCCTGGGAGCCCCCAAAAAGGCCAAACAACTGCTGTTTAGACCAACAGATCTTACAAAATAAAAGTGAATATATAATTGTAGTGCAATGTCGTGATATATTACTGCTTAAGACTACAAATGCAATAGAAATAATAGTATTTCTTACCTTAAATTGTGGGTAATGGTGTTTGTGGATGATTGTGAAGAGAGTGGATATGGATGGTGTGGCCCTACTGGGCTGAGGTGGATGGTTGTTGGTTGTCGGCAGAAGTGGATGGTAGAGGTTCTGGTACTGAAGTCGATGGTTGTATTGGAGTGTGCATAAATTCTGTAATGGATCTCTGGGCTCTTTTACCCTGCAGTACATTATACAGCTGATGGTAAGGCATCATCAGCTGGTCTAGACCCCGTTTCAGCACTGCTTCTAGATTTGTCAGGGTCCTCTTCAGTGAAAAAGTCTGCTAGTTTACCGGTAGCATGGAACTGCTCACGTAACTGCTGCAATGTTAACTGTTTTTCTTCAGGTTCTTCTTCATCTACTTCTGTTATTCCTCCCTTGTACCTGTGCATCGAGCTCTGCCAACAATTCCTCTGGACTCCTGTCTTCATCATCATCTACTAAGAGCTCATTCACATCTTCTGCATTCATATCTTCAAAGCCATTACCTGGTAATCTCCTTTCCAGCTGAACAATTTCCTGAACCTGACTCTCAAGCAAGGGAAAATCAGTGAAAGGATTAACTACAGAAGGCCATAACTTTCCCCAGCCTACATTTAATGTTGATTGAGGCACTTCATTCCATGCACTTCTAGCATAGCTTATGGCATCTACAATGTTAAATTTATTCCAGAAGCTTGGTACTGCCAGGTTGGAGTCAGAGTCCAATGATGCAACTAGTTTTTTCATAAATTTTTTTGTGTAATTACACTTAAATGACTTAATAACTTCCCAATCCAGTGGTTGTATTAGAGATGTTGTATTTGGAGGTAAAAATTCAACTTTTACATGTGGGGTCACATCCAGCAAAGCTTGTGGATGAGTACGGGAATTATCAAGAACGATGAGAGCCTTGAATGCAAGGTTCTTGTTGTGCAGGTAAAACTTGACTTCAGGGATAAAGTGATGCTTAAACCAGTCAATAAATATTTCTTCTGTCATCCATGCTGACTGGTTCGACCTCCAAATTACTGGTAAGGTGTTTTTATCTACACCTTTCAAAGCTCGAAGATTCTTATAGTGGTAAATAACCATGGGGTTACACTAGAAATCACCTGATGCATTACCGCAAAGGAGCAAGATGAAGCGATCCTTTGCTGTCTTGAAGCCTGGTGCACTTTTCTCTTGCTAACTGATATAAGTTCATGTTGGCATTTTTTTCCAAAAAACACTTGTCTCGTCAGCATTAAACAATTGATGTGGCTCATAGCCACCCTCAAAAATAATTTCCTACAATTCAGCAGGGAAATTACTTGCTGCTTTACGATCAGCTGAAGCATTTTCACCAGAAAACTTAATATTATGTTACATATTATGCAACTTAAAGTTGTGGAACCAACCTGTGCTATACACATACACACTTTCTCAGGCCTTCCTTCCTTCCTTATCACACACACTGCTTTAAACAACTGTAAGGCTTTTCCCTAATTAAGAGGAAATTAAGTGGTGCACCTTTCTTTGTCTTTTGTTCAATCCACTCAAGCAACAAATTTTCAGTTTTATTTACTTGCTGTGATCTGTGTGTCATTCTTTTCATGAGGTGATATCTTGGGTTATTCATTACACAAGCTTGTATATTCACTGCGTTCTTTTTAATTGTATGAACTGACGCTTCATTAAAGCCATAGGCCCTCACTATATCCACCACACGTGAGCCACTCTTAAAAGCTTATCTAATATCTTGATTTTCTTCGTAATTCCAAGACTTGAACACTTAAACCTTTTCTTGTCACTTGCGGGAACACTTGTATGCTTACTGGGTGCCATGAGTGCTTAGCAGATTTAACAAATGGCAATGAAAATAAGAAAATATGTATGTAAATAAACACAGCGAGCTTCCTGAGTATCGTCATCCTACATGCATATGAGCCAACTGAAGGCTGGTAGGGAGGTGTGAGAGGATGTGGGTGGTGGTTCCCCCACCATCGCATGGGGGAGCTCGCTCAAAATTTTTTCCCCTCCTGCAACCATGTTAAAATAATTTTATGAAGTGTTAAACAAAAATGTGCAGCAATTCTTCAATCACGCTATATACAAAACATGCAAGACAAAATCGTATTAAACGACAGTCTACTGTTCATCCTACAATTTTCTTTGAAAATTAGACACATATGCAACATCTGGGTATCTTTAATGTAGACGTTTTGCTATCCAGTGACTTTATCAATACAAATTCTAGGACATAATTTGAAGACAGTAGAACTATATACAGAAGATAAAGTAATCAGTCCCTCAGCCTTGGAGTTGGTGTGAAGAGCACTGTAGTCGTGAAGAATCTGGAGCACAGACTAGAAGGCTGGCACTTGCCTGTAAGTTGGTCACACCACTTATTGTGTTTTCATATATAGCTTCATTATTCTGAAACATATCTTGCATGAAAGGTGGTTGTACTATATTATAAAAATAAGATTGTTTGGATTTCATATACAGTGGACCCCCGGTTACGGCCAGCTTGGTTATCGGTGGGTTTTTTGGCACCCGGCTATCGGCCGTTTTGGACGCGTCCATCCACCGGCTGGGGCAGCTTGCGCTTCAGTTTGGCTTTGTCTCTCAGTGGCTGAGGAAGCTTCTGCTCATACATCCAAACCTTTCGCTTGTTTACCATTGTTTTTAGTGGTTTTTCTTGCGGTGCAACTGTGAAATAAGTAAAGATGGCTCCAAAGAAAGTTCCTAGTAAAGTTCCTGTGGTAAAGAGTGTGAGAAACACTATGGAATTTAAGCGTGAAGTGATAGAAAAGTTTGAGAGTGGTATGAAGGTGATGGAACTTTATGGAGGGGGATTCCCCTTCCAAACACTAACTCCTCCCTCTTTCCTCCTCCCTATCTTCCAGAAGCCAGCATTACCCTTCAATAAAGGTATGTAATACTTACATAATTGTTAAAAAAATGATTTTTTTGTGAATATTTTTGTTTGGAACGGATTAATTGTATTTCCATTAATTCTTATGGGAAATATTAATTCGGTTATTAGCCATTTCAGTTATCGGCCGACCTTCTGGAATGAATTACGGCCGATAACCAGGGGTCCACTGTATGTACACCTACCATCCGACTTACGACCTGCTCGACTTATGACCACTCAACTTACGACCGTGTTTTTTATGCCAAATTTCTGGGAAATAAACAACTATTTGTGTTGTACACAGTGTTTATCCTAAACCTTACAGTATAAAATACAGTACTAACAACATGAAAAGTAAAGTAAAACATGAAATACCAAAATAAAACAATAAAATAAAGTCATTACAAAAGTGTTTTGTTGATATTCAGTAGTAAAGTTCGACTTACAACCATTTCGACTTACGACCGGTTTCTCGGAACTGAACTCGGTTGTAAGTTGGATGGTAGGTGTACTTTGGCTGCAAATTGTATCACTATCCAGTGTTTATTATTAGTTTAATGTTTTTGTAAGTTCCTGGTGTAAAGACCTATATAGCAAAGAAGTATCTTTTATTTATACAAAACTTCACCCACTAGTGGTGAAACTATGTGTATGTAAAAGATTCTTGTTTGATACAAGTGTCTTCATACCAGCCTGTGTCAGCTTGCATGCATATAGTATCGACATATTTTCTAAAGTTCTTTCTTTCTTTCAACAAACCAGTCGTATCCCACCGAGGCAGGGTGGCCCAAAAGGAAAAACGAAAGTTTCTCTTATTAAATTTAGTAATTTATACAGAAGGGGTTACTAGCCCCTTGCTCCCAGCATTTTAGCCGCCTCTTTCAACACGCATGGTTTACGGAGGAAGAATTCTGTTCCACTTTCCCATGGAGATAACAGGAAATAAACAAGAACAATAACTAATAAGAAAATAGAAGAAAACCCAGAGGGGTGTGTATATATATGCTTGTACATGTATGTGTAGTGTGACCTAAGTGTAAGTAGAAGTAGCAAGACGTACCTGAAATCTTGCATTTTTATGAGACAGAAAAAAGGACACCAGCAATCCTACCATCATGTAAAACAATTACAGGTTTTCGTTTTACACTCACTTGGCAGGGCGGTAGTACCTCCCTGGGCGGTTGCTGTCTACCAACCTACTACCTGAAATTTTCTAAAGTTATTTAGTTTAATTTAATTAGCTTAGTATTTGTATGTAAATACATTGTGTTCAAGTGCAGTGGTGCTTATTTTTTTGTGATGTTTCAGTTTTATGTGCTGGTGGACACTGGCAGCAGCAACCTGGCTATAGCAGGGGCTCCACATGAAGAACTGGACAAATTTTTTGCATGGCAAAACTCATCTACCTATGTGGATCTAGAAAGGGATGTTAAGGTTATATATACTCAAGTAAGTAATGTAGTGTAGCTGTACCACTAAAAATTTTGAAAGGAGATAAAGGTTGAACCTCACTAGTCTGGCATTCACTGGTCTGGCAGCTACAGTGGTTCAGGACAGTAATTTGAACCTTGTGGTCATTAGTTTGTATGACCCCTGCTTGGCCAGTTGTGGCACCAATGCTGCTCAATATTTTTTATGTAAGTTTTTTCTAAAATTTTCTCTTACACATTTAAAGATATATTTTTCATTTATGTTAATGTAAAAATTAATAATTTTGTACCAAAAGAACCTTAGAAAACTTACCTAACCTTATTATAACAAGTGCAATTTAATTTAGAATAATCCAACTAAATATATTTTAGATATATTTACAATACCTAGGTAGTAGGTTGGTAGACAGCAACCGCCCAGGGAGGTACTACCGTCCTGCCAAGTGAGTGTAAAACTGAAGCCTGTAATTATTTTACACGATGGTAGGATTGCTGGTGTCTTTTTTTTTCTGTCTCATACACATGCAAGATTTCAGGTACGTCTTGCTACTTCTACTTACACTTAGGTCACACTACACATACATGTACAAGCATATATATACACACCCCTTTGGGTTTTCTTCTATTTTATTTCTAGTTCTTGTTCTTGTTTATTTCCTCTTACCTCCATGGGGAAGTGGAACAGAATTATTCCTCCGTAAACCATGCGTGTTGTAAGAGGCGACTAAAATGCCGGGAGCAAGGGGCTAGTAACCCCTTCTCCTGTATATATTACTAAATGTAAAAGGAGAAACTTTCGTATCCCGCCTCGGTGGGATACAGCCAGTGTGTTGAAATAAAGAAAGAAGATGTTTGCAATAATTTTGCAATAAACAAACACAATGAAATACAGTGGACCCTCGGTTTTCGTGTTTAATCCGTTCCAGAGCCATTGGCCAAAACTGAGATCGGCCAAAACCAAAGCCATTTTCTCCATAAGAAATAATGTAAATGGAATTAATCTGTTCCAGACACCCAGAAGTATCAATAAAAAAGTTTTTTTTTTTTTAAAGATAGATTTACATGCACAAAAGAATGAACATTACACATGACACTTACCTTCATTGAAGACTGTTGTTGGTGGATGGAAGACAGGGAGGAAGGGAGAGGGAAAGAGAGGTTATTCTTTGGAAGGGGAAACCCCTTCCATAAGGACTGTAGGTACCAAGTCCTTATCTGGGGGTCACTTCCCTCTTTTGTTTTTTAATGCCACTAGGACTAACTTGAGAGTCACTGGACCCCTGTTGCACAGAATATCTGTCCAGATAGGTCTGTTTCTGGCATCTCTTTAAAATTTCCCTAAAATGGGACATGGCGCTGTCATTATAAAAGTCACCAGCACGGATTGCAACAGCTTTCTCAGGGTGATATTGCTCCACAAATGACTGCACCCTAGTCCACATTGCACAGATCTCCTTAATCTCTGAAGAAGGCACCTGCTTCCATCTCTCTTCCTCCTCCTCTGCATCAGTTTCCTGTGCTGTGGTCTGTTGCTGTTGCAGATGAAGCTCTTTCAGCTTATCAGTGGTTAGCTCTTGATTGTGGTCATCCACCAACTCTTCAACATCCTGGCCACTCACATCCAACCCAGTGGAATTCCCCAATGTCACAATCGATTGCACAACAGGTGTAGGGTTGACAGGGTCAGCCTCAAACCCTTCAGAATCCTTCTTTCGGACACAATCTTGCCACAGTTTATCCCAAGCAGAGTTCATTGTCCTGGAAGTCACTCCCTGCCAAGCCTTATCTTTAAGGCCTATGCACTGGAAGACACTGAAGTGATTCTTCCAGAACTCTCTTAGGGTCAATTCAGAGTCAGATATTATGTCAAAGCACCTTTGAAACATTGCTTTGGTATACAGTTTTTTTAAATTTGCAATGATTCAAAAAGTCGGGACATGCCTGCGGAATGTCACATTCAGGGTTTTAAATTGTTCCAAGTAGATAGAAGTATCGGGAAGAGGCGTGGGGTGGCATTGTATGTCCGAGATCGCTTGAACTGTTACATAAAAACGGGTATTAAGTCTGAAGTAACACATACAGAATCTGTTTGGATAGAATTTTCAGAGGGGCATGAAAAATTGATTTTAGGTGTGATATACCATCCCCCAAACTTAGATAGGGACCAAGGGAGACTACTATGGGAGGAAATTGTTAGGGCCACGAGGCACGATAATGTAGTAATTCTAGGAGACTTTAACTTTAGTCATATTGATTGGAATTTCTTGACTGGGAATTTAGAATCATATGACTTCTTAGAAGTAGTTCAGGATTGTTTTTTGAAGCAGTTTGTGACAGAACCTACAAGGGGAAATAACCTGCTTGACTTAGTTCTGGCAAACAATGAATCCCTTGTTAATAATTTAGAAATTTCAGAGGAACTGGGTGCTAATGACCACAAATCAATTACATTTAGCATTGAATGGAAGTATGATAGTAGGGATAACTCAGTAACAGTCCCAGATTTTTGCTTAGCAGATTACGATGGGCTTAGAGAACACTTATCATCTGTTGAATGGGGTAACGAAGAGAACTATCAATATGACAGTTTTCTGAACACTATACATAAGAACATAAGAACGAAGGAACACTGCAGAAGGCCTACTGGCCCATGCGAGGCAGGTCCAAGTCTCCTACCGGCTTAAGCCAATGCACCCAACCTAGTCAGGTCAGGTCACATTGACTTAAGGGAGGAACACGGCAACCGACCTGGTAGCACAAGCTATCAGGTCCAACTCACACCCACCCACATCCACTCATGTATTTATCCAACCTATTTTTAAAGCTACACAACGTTCTGGCCTCTATAACTGTACTCGGGAGTTTGTTCCACTCATCCACAACTCTATTACCAAACCAGTACTTTCCTATATCCTTCCTGAATCTGAATTTTTCCAACTTAAAACCATTGCTGCGAGTCTGTCTAGGCTAGATATTTTCAGCACACTATTTACATCCCCTTTATTTATTCCCGTCTTCCATTTATACACCTACAATCATATCCCCCCTAATTCTACGTCTTTCTAGAGAGTGCAGATTCAGGGCCTTTAGTCCTATCCTCATAGGGAAGGGTTTCTGATACATGGGATCAACTTTGTCATCCTCCTTTGTACATTTTCCAGAGAATTTATATCCATCCTGTAATACGGTGACCAAAACTGTGCAGCATAATCTAAATGAGGCCTAACCAAGGATGTATAGAGTTGAAGAACAACCTGAGGACTCCTATTATTATTGCTTCTTGATATGAAAGCCAAGGATTCTATTAGCTTTATTGCGAACACTTATGCACTGTTGTCTTGGTTTCAGATTACTATTAACCAGAACTCCTAAATCTTTTTCGCAATCCGTAATATTAAGATCTACATTATTTAGTTTATATGTGGCATGGTTATTGTCCTGTCCAACATTTAGAACTTTGCATTTGTCTATATTAAACTGCATCTGCCACTTCTCCGACCACTGCATCAGTCTATTCAAATCTTCCTGGAGTGCTCGAATGTCCTCGTCAGAATGAATTCGACGGCCTATTTTGGTGTCCATCGGCAAACTTGCCGATGTCGCTCTTTATGCCCTCATCTATGTCGTTTATGTAGATTGTGAACAGCAGGGGGCCCAACACTGACCCCTGTGGGACACCGCTCGTAACGCTTCCCCACTCTGATTTCTCCCCATTTATGCAAACTCTCTGCTGCCTATTTGTCAACCATGCCTCTATCCAGGAAAAAATTTCTCCTCCTATTCCATGTGCTTTAATTTTCCTCAATAGTCTCTGATGTGGGACCCTGTCAAAAGCCTTACTGAAGTCCATATACACAATATCATATTCATTACCATGATCTACCTCCTCAAATACCTTAGTGAAAAAAGTTAATAAATTCGTAAGGCAGGAACGCCCCTTTGTAAAACCATGCTGAGATTCGTTGATTAATTTATGCTTTTCAAGGTGGCTACGAACTGCCTCGGCAATTATTGATTCAAAGAACGTTTGTCCCGTGTAAAGAAATTAGATCAAATAGAAATGACCCAAAATGGATGAATAATAGGCTGAAATATCTACTAGGGCATAAGAAAGGAATTTATAGGCGTATCAAAAGAGGTGAGGGTCATCTTATGAATTAGTATATTGGCATTAAGAGGGACGTTAAAAAGGGGATAAGAAAAGCTAAAAGGGACTATGAAATTAAAGTTGCTAGGGATTCAAAAACTAACCCAAAGAGTTTTTTCCAGGTCTATAGAATGAAAGTTAGAGATAAGATAGGTCCCCTTAAAAATAACTATGGGCATCTTACTGACAAAGAGAATGAAATGTGCTCCATTTTAAATAATTATTTTCTCTCGGTTTTTACACAGGAAGGCACTAACAATATTCCAGTAATTAATTTTTATAGTGGGCCTGAAGAAGATAAATTATGTAACATCACAGTCACTGGTGAAATGGTTATGAAACAAATCGACTGACTGAAGCAAAATAAGTTGCCGGGTCCTGATGAGCTTTTTTCAAGGGTTCTTAAGGAATGTAAAATGGAACTCTGTGAACCATTAACTAATATTTTTAATTTATCTCTTCAAACAGGTGTAGTGTCTGATATGTGGAAGATGGCTAATGTAATTCCTATTTTTAAAGCAGGGGACAAGTCGTTACTGTCAAATTACCACCCAATAAGCCTAACCTCAATTGTAGGCAAATTACTAGAGTCAATTATAGCTGAGATTATAAGAAGCCATCTGGATAAGCATAGCTTGATTAATGATACTCAGCATGGATTCACGAGAGGCCATTCTTGTCTAATTAATTAACTTTCTTCAGTAAAGCTTTTGAGGCTGTTGATCACGATAAAGAATTTGATATTATTTACTTAGATTTTAGTAAGGCTTTTGATAGAGTTCCACACCAAAGACTGTTAAAGAAAGTGGCAGCTCATGGCATTGGGGGAAAAGTGCTCTCATGGATCGAGTCATGGCTCACAGACAGGAAGC